CCTCTGGCAGAGTTGGGCAGTCACGTCCCTGCGTAGCCATGCCTCATCGATGAGGCGGTCCCAATCCTCCTTATGTACATGAAGGAACTAGGATTTCTCCCAGCTACGAACAATAAGCGACTGAAAAAAGACGGTGGTCAGAAAACAAAAATGGATGAACAAAGAAGAGATCAGGAGGCAAGACCAAGTAAATACCTAGCCGATGGGAATGATGACGTCTCAAAGGGTGCCGCTGGCCTAGTTCAGAGCTTCCAGCATGGCCATGGACCCCTCGTGGAGCTTCTCCCGCTCCATGCCCACGGCGACATCGTCGAGGGTGAAGAGTTCCGACGACGGGTCCCATGGACTCACCCACCGGAGTGGGGGCTCATCCCACACGGGCAGGTGGTGGCTCTCCAATGTTAGGGCCAGGGACAACTCCCTGCCGGTCTCCTCGGCAACCACCATGGCGTTCGAGGGTCCCTCAGCCATGACCCCCTCCGTCCCGCCCACGGCGGGCGTCGTCACTGTGGCTGTCGGTGGCACGGCACGCGCCGCTGCCTCGGCCGCCGCTACCATAGCTCCTAGTTGTGACCCATCCGTCGTAGCCACCATCACCTCCACCTCCGTTGGTAGGACCTCGTTTAGCTACGCCGCACCCAACGTGGTCGACGCGATGGGTGCGGCCAATAGCTCCGCCCGCTCCAACGTCAGCGTCGGCAGCACTTTCATCGCCAGTTGAGCGGCGACCTCCAAGGGTGCCCCCTCAACCTCACTGACCACTTGACCCACCGAGGGCATCGGCACCACCACGGGTGGCACCAGACCGGCCAACGAGGCTGTGACGCCGGCTCCACTCTTGCCCGAAACAGGAGCGACGTCAGGCGGCGGCCCCCAACTTGCCTGAAGGGCGAGGGTTTTCTTGGGCCCCAATGCTATAGAAGCACCCCGTTTGTCCCGTCTCCCAATGCTATAGAAGAAACAAAAGGCGTGAGTCACCATGAAAAATAGAGAAAAACAGAGGAGTCGGTAACTTACACCGCCGCTGTTGGGCGATGGAGACGTTTGGGGGATGAACCCTAGTTCCCTACTCCCCCTCGTTGGGGCGGGACCACCTGGAGCCCATCCCTTGCTCCCTAGCCGAGGGGCTCGCCCCTCATATCTAAGGATGGCGGGGGTGCCACTCCCCTCTCTCGGCACCTCAAGCGCGGTGGCAGAGCCGCCCACCCCCACCGACTCTTGGGCTACGATGATGGGTCCGCCCGTCCTCGCTGATTCCTGAGGCTCGATGGTGGGACACGCCCCTCCACTGGCATCTCGGGCGCGGTGGTGGACCCACCCACCTCTGATGGTCCTAAAGACGGGCTGATGGTCGGCCGCCTCCTCTCCGGCCTCACGGCCTCACCTTCCCTTGCATGGAACGGGAAGGGTCCCTACATTGACGAGTGGACTGCCTATCAGCGCGTCCTCGCTTTCTAGGTCGCCCCACTCAATGTCGGTGATTACCTCATCATATTCCTCATCGTCATCATCATCGTCACTATCTATCTCTTCACCTCGTTCCCGTGCCTGCTGCTTCTGTAGCTTCTTCTTCTTCTTGAACTCCTTCATCTTCTTCTCCCACTCGACCATGGTATGATTCGCTGTTGCCACAAGCGGGTCCTTCGATAGTGGAGCCGAGCTATCCGTAAAGACAAGCCTCTTTGGCTGGTCCCGCTATCCCAATGTCAGCATCAAGGGGTTGGAAGTTCAATTAAAAAAGAGACATAGGGAAGGAAAACTTAAAAATCGATGTACCCCTATTCCTAGCGCATTTGAGGGTGCCCCGGCACTAGATACACAAAATCAAGAACAACACTGATACCGTCCTTCGAAGGCTCCATCACCTCCTTGATGCGCTGCGCCACTTCAGAGGGGGGAGCACTTCATCGGCAAGCGTCGTCCCATTGAGTGATGGTTCAGCGCCATCAGGTATAGGGGAAGTGTGCGGCTCATCAGTGGCGCCACCCTCTATGTATGGTAGGCGCCGATGATCCCCAACCCCTTCACGCCTCTCTCCTTTAGAATTCAGATGGCGGCGAGATGGTCCAAGATTTTCTTCTTGTCTTTATCCGGTACACCCCACTTCCATGGCTCTAGGACCTCTTTGATAATGCGCCCAGAGAACGCTGGCAAGGGGGCGGCTACGTCATCCTTGATGTAAAACCAATGTGAATGCCACCCCTTGTTGGAGGTCGACAGATGCATCGATGGGTATTCGTTTACCCGATTGTTGCGAAGATGAATGCCGGTGCATCCCACCGGCACGCTCAGCTCTTGCTTCTTCTCCCGCTTCTTCAAAAGGTTGACATCAAAGAAATACTGCCATAGGTTGAAGTGGGGACTAATCCCCAAGAACCCCTCACATAGGGCGACGAACGCCGCAATGTGCTGGACCCCATTGGGAGTGAGGTGCTACAGCTCCACCTTGAAGTAATGCACCAGCCCCCGAAGGAACTTGTGGGTAGGGATGGCAAATCCCCGCTCATGGAAAGCGAGGGAAGGACACCACGTAGCCTTCGGGTGGTGAAGGTGCATCCTCATTGCCGGGCAGCCGCCACTCCTCGAGGCGGGTCCACGGGCAAAGGAGGCCACGACAAATGAGGCCCTCCAGGCATGAAGGGTGATGTCGGATCTACACCATGGCTCCATTGAACGATTGGGAGGGGGTGGATGCGAGCTTGATGGCGGCTGCGATGCGAGTGTGGGAGGCTCAGACGATTGGCGGCGGAGGTTGTAGATGCGAAGGCGAGGAGGCAAAGTATGAAACCCTGGGGGCGAAACCCTTAGTTTTATAGGAGCAACAGATGCGAGAAGGGCAACCGTCCGCCTAGATCTCCGTGCCTACCATGATACACCTCCCCATCACATCGTGGGATATGCGCCCGCGATCCCAATCCTTTCCCACCAAAGTCACGCCGGACGTTTAACTTCCCAGGCAGACCAGGACTCTTTTCCCGCAGAGGGGATACGGGTCAAAAAGCATTTTTCCAGCCCGCCTGAGCCCAGGAGTTTGAGGGATGGACCAATAAATTTGATGGCCATCCCAACGAGGATTCAGCCCATGAGCGGCCAAAACTCAGGCACACGAGCCTCAAGGGAGTCTCGATCCACGATCGAGTCTCAACTGGGCTGACCCAGGACGAATCCCCATGAATGGGATACCAGGGTTCCCTTTAAGCTATCCAGTTGTCAAACACTAAATCTCACATCCATAATCGTGAAGGGTCCGAATTACCCCGGGCGATTCTATCCGAATCACCCGGGGGGCTACACTTGACGGGTGCGCTCGCACACACCCTCTAGCAAGTCAAATCACCCGGACGATTCTATCCGAATCACTCGGGGGCTCAGGGGCTACTGTCGGGGACCTAATATTGGGGTACATAATGAGGTGGAACTAAAAACCATCAAACATTGATGCTTTCAAACAGACAAGAACGCAACTACACTTCTGGTCCATACGACCGAAGATTAGCCGTGCCTCACCTGGCCCCTAAGGGTTGGCTCCGCCTCGCCCGACCCCCGAGGGATGGACTTCGCCTCACCCGACCCCCGATGCTGGACTCGGCCTCGCCCAACGTCTGGGAACAGACCTCGCCACGCCTGATGGCTGAGGGCTGGCTCTGCCTCGCCCGATGACCAGGGACTAGCCTCGCCTCACCTGACCCCTGAGGGATGGGCCTCGCCTCGCCCGACCCCCGAGGGATGGGCTCCACCTCGCCCGATGACTGGGGACTGACCTCGCCTCGCCCGACCCCCGAGGGCTGGCTCCACCTCGCCCGACATCCCGGGACAGGCTCCGCCTCGCCCGATGTCCCAGGGCTAGCTCCGTCTTGCTCGATGACTGCATCCTGCTCCTTCATAACGATGAGCATAGGGTAAGATAGGACATTTGAGTCAACCACTGTACCAAGGACCATGCCCTGCATGCCTGCAGGAAAGTACCATCAAGATACGATGGGACAAACGCTTTAAGCCCCTCTAGGCATGACAGAGCCCGAACAGTGTTGTAGGCGCCGACTTTTATCTTACAGTGTTGTGGGCGCCGCCATCAGCCCTCAGACGTGGATCCTGACATAAGCATACGACAACAAATACAATCCAGAGAGAACTCGCATCATCTACAGTAATAGGCGTATAGTCACTTGGTCTATAAAAGGGAGGGCAGGACACCCCACTAAGGGGAGGGATCGATTTCACACACAATGCATCACATAACACACAACCAAGTAGCAAGCGAGCTCTTGGCATCCTTTTGACCTTTCCATCCGTTTGTACCCCCTACTACGAACCTTTTCAGTGCTAATAACACGAGTAGCAGCAGACTAGACATAGGGATATTCTGCCCAAACCAGTATAAACCTTGTGTCCTTTAGCACACCATCTAGGCCTAACGGGCAACAAATATAAATTTACTAGTTGGTGTTTACTTGAAACACTGATAGGAGGACTCTGAGGGCCTTGGCCTTCTTTTTGTAGCCCACGACATGTCCTGGTAGGACGACGGTTTCCTCTTATCGCGGTTAGTCTTCTTGGGGGCATGTAACAGTAAGATTCGGGAGGTCAGAAAGATTCTTCTTGATTCCGGTCCACCGTCATACTGCAACCACGCATTCAGGACGTCAAATCCTTTGAGGGTGGGTGGATGTGAGACCCAGCCTATTGGGACAGTTGGGCTAGACCGAATCCATGACACTATAGCTTCGGGGTAGTGTAGCAGCGTGAAAAACACTGTAACTACGAAGTTTAGTACCATACTATAAGTTGCAGGAGAGCTGAGCTAAGTTAAAAGCATGGACCTGGGAGGCTATTAACTCCGGATCGATCCTTTTGTGCGAAGCAAGGACAAAAGCACAAGAGAGTTAATTAGTAGGTGTAGTTCATTCAACGTGTAGAGAGGACCTTAGCGGTCTTTCTAGGTTAGGACATTACAGCAGATCAACGACAATTCAACATGTAGATTAGGCCTTAGTCGAGCCATGGCGTTACAGCTGATCAACGGCAACTACAGCTACGTCCCCGTGGTGGAGCTCGCTGAGGTGCGCAACCTCATCGACACCAAGGATCGCAAGTGGGCTTTGGTCAGGTCCATCGCGAAGCAGCCCGACTTTGTCCGGAGCACGGAGGTGCAGGCCCTTATTGGACTTTACAAGTATAAATGTCCATGCAGCTTAAGGCACGACGGCACGTCACGAAGCCTGCTTTTTTAGCCCAACACGAGCATGGCCTAGCCCGATGACGTGAGAGCCCGGGCTGGCCCATGCCTGGGCCATACACCAGGCTCGTGGACTAGCACGGCATGGCCTAGTTTTTTAGGGTCGGCCCGACAGTGGCCCGCCACCCTCTCTCCCCCACGACCCAACGTGATGGCCCAGCTGCTCTCCGCCTCCCCCTCTCCCCCATGGCCCAAGGCGATGACCCAGCTGCTCTCCGCCTCCCCCTTCGTATATAAGCGGCGCCGGCTCCCTCTCCCCTCCCTCACCAAACCCTAAATCATTCGGTCATCTCATTCCCCACCCAGGCACCCACCCACGCCGTCCGCCCTCTTGAGTCACTCTCGTTCTCGCCTCGACTTCTCTAGTGACCTCCCCCGACTCTGGTGACCTCAATTCGATCCGCCTGCCACCGTCGAGCCACTCCCTTCTCCTCCTCCCAAATACCCTCCCTCACTCCCATCTCCCTCTCCCTCTCTCCCCTCGACCCCTCTAGATCTTGGTGATTATGTGAGTTCTTGTTACTGTCTTCCCTCCGCCGCCGCTCACCGTCCTTGCTAATGGTGTGTCATCTTCTCTTGGGGGGCCATCATTGTCTCCGACACCGGGCTCTGGTTGCATAGGTAAACCCTAACCCTAACCCTCTTCTTCTATCTTGATCTGTCTAACTATTTCTGATTCTATTTGTTCCTCTTCCTCCTTCATCTCTTTGCGCAGGTCGGTAGCCGATGCTTCATCCTCTAGCTATGGCACAGAGCGAGCAAGGTGGCCACTCACACCATTGAGGAACGGGGCTAGAGAGGCCATGGCTGAAGATGATGGTGTCCTTCTACCAAGCCTGGCCCTCGAGGGCGAGAACGACGACGACACCCGTGACAACGCTGCTGCGTTGTTCGATATCGATCTCGGAGACGTCTATGCTCCGATCGATCTGGACGGCAGCGGTGGTGAAGGGGCGACGGCGACTAGGACCATGGTCGGCTCTACCAGCTCTACTCCATCTATTGCTAGTACTAGTACCTCTGTTGGTAAGCGTAAATCTGCTGTGTGGGCTGATTTTGATGAGATCTTTAAGACTGTGAATGGAGTTAAGATTTGAACTAAAGCTACCTGTAAAATGTGTTACAGTACTTTGTCTGCTAGAACTAGTGCTGGCACTGGTCACTTGAAGAGGCACTAGAAATCTTGTAAGCAAAAAACTGATCAACGTGCTTGGGTTAAGTCTAGGCTTGCTTACAATCCTGATGGTTCTGTGCATAATTGGGACTATAAACCTGATGTTGCTAGATCTAAGTTGTGTCGCTTGATTGCTAGGCTTGATCTATCGTTAGGTATCGGTGAGACAGAGGCTGAGATGAGATGAGTACATTATTCGTGCTCATAACCCTAGGTTTATTAAGGTATCTAGACAGACCACCACTAGAGATCTTAGTAAGCTGTTTACTGAACATCGTAATATGCTTAAGAATCATGTGTTGTCTGTTGTTTCTCTCTGTTGCACTGACTTCAGACATTTGGTCTGGTAATGCAAGGAAGACTTCATTACTGTTGTTGCTCATTATGTCAATGCTGATTGGGAGTTATAGAAAAAGGTTATTGGTTTTAGGTTGATTGAGGTGAAACCTACCAGTGAAAATATTGCTGAAAGAATTGCTTGTGTGATTGAGGAGTATGGTCTGATTGATAAGGTTTTCTCTATAACTTTAAACAATGCTTCTTCTAATGCTAGGGCTATGAGTACTTTGATACCTCTGCTTGCTGGTTATTTGGATGTTGATCCTTCACCTGAGCATGCAGATCCTTCTAAGGTTAACTATAGTCTTGTGCATCAATATTGTGCTTGTTATATCATTAATCTAATTGTAAAATCTGGTTTAAAGCGGTTCAAACCTTACTTAGAAGATTTAAGATCTGCTATTAACTTTTTGAATTAGATAGAATGCTACATACCTTATGCTTAAACACTTGGTTCCATATAAGGATGTTTTTTCTGTGTTCATTAATGCCAATTATGGGTCACAATTGTTGTCTGCAAGGCATTGACATGTAGCTGAGAAGATATTAGAGTTCCTAGAAATATTTTATGAAAGCATTGTTGTTCTTTCTGATGTTTATTATCCAACTAGTCCACTTATTCTGCACCATCTTCTTGATATTGCTTCACATTTACATGCAAGTGAAAAAGATCAAAATCTAATGTCTATTGTATATCCTATGAAGCTTAAATTCTTTAAATACTGGTAGGACATACCTCTGTTATATTTATTTGCATTCATTCTTGATCCTAGAGTTAAGATAAGAGGTATATTTAATGTTCTGCAATTACTTAAAGAGTACACTGGTTATGATTACAGTTCATATTATGCCGATGTGAGAATTGGAATTTACAAGTTGTTTAACAAATATGAGAAAAAGTTTGATGCAGCTATGTCTCAAAAGGATACACAGCCTGCAAGCCATACAGGTAAAAGAAAACAGGCATGGGGAAGGATCTTTGGAGGTCCTGGATCTGGTGTTGTTTGTCCTTCCCCTGCCTCTGCCCCCACTTCATCTACATCTGGTTCTGTTATGTGTGAGCTCACAGTTTATGTTGACAGTGATAATGTCACTGCATATGAGGATGATTTTGATTTACTTCTCTGGTGACGTGACCACAAACTAACCTATCCAATTCTATCTATCATGGCTAGAGATATTATGTCAGTTCCTGTTTCTACTGTCTCTTCAGAATCATATTTCAGCTTAGCAAGAAGGATCATTGAGGAGCGGCGACGACGTTTGTAGCCTGAAACTATGGAGATACTGACTTGCATAAAGGATTGGGAGTTAGGAGAAAGAAGGTTACAACATGCTGTTGACAACTAAGAGTTGGAGGATTCCTTCAAGAATTTATATCTCGATGAAGATGAAGCTGGTGCATCTAGGGGTGCTGTTGCTGGTACATCTAAGGGTGCTGCTGGTTGAGACTAGGGGTGCTGCTGGTACATCTGGAGGTGCTGCTGCTGGTACATCTTGAGAGTTGAGGTTTGGGACTTGAGGGTTGATAGTGTGATCTGTAACTGTAATCTGTATCTGTTTTCTGTGAGACTTAAGACCTTTGAACATGTTTAAGACTCAATTAAGAGCTGTGGTGCACTCTTTTTCTCTTTCTAGGGTTTCTCACAAGGGTGAGTTTTACCTAGAAAGATTTTTAATGAGACAGCATTGCACAAACAGCTCGGTTATCTTAATTGTCTCTTTTGTATCTTTTGTTTTGTTGGATTTGATCATTTGGAGTTGAGTTCAGTTTTGATTTGTGAATGTGAAATTTGGTAAGTGATCTGATTGAGTGATTGTGAATGTGAACTTAGAAGTTGTAATCTATAAACTTAGAACTTATAATCTATGCTTGTGATCTGATTGAGAATGTCATATTTGCTAAGTGTTGTATGAGATGAATTTTTTGAGGTGATTTAAGGGGGACCGGGTTGTAGGCTGGCACAGCCCGTAGAATTGGCTGTGCTCAACGGACCGGCACGGCCCGACTACCGGCCCATAGGGCCGTAGAGCAGGCACGATACACGATTCGACACGGCCCGAGCAGCCCACGTGCCGTGCCGGCCCGAACCCCAGCGGGCCGGGTCGATGGCCATATATATTTACAAGGCTATGTGATTTCCAGTCAAGTTGAGCGCCACGCCATAGATTTTTTCAAGTGCGATGTTCCTGCACTGTACTAGTACAAGGTTATCCTCCTTTATATAAAGGTGGCAAATGTTCAGTAGTTTACTGTGACCAAGTGGAGTGGGGTGATTTTGATCCTCACTACGTTACCAAAAATATTCAGAATCTAACATAATAAAAGAATCAATTTGCAATCATCACTCAGTGACTCGGTGCGAATCACCTTCGTTGGCGACTTCCGTTGGCCGTTGACGAGACCAAGCAAAGGTTTGGGCCCCCACAGGCCACGGAAGCCGTCCGGCCCAGTCCAGCAGCTTTGCCCTCGGCTCTTTGCAGTTGTGACTCGTGAATACCCGAAACGGCCTTCCCTCCCTCTTCCCCAACACGCAGTTTCTCTTTCACATGTTTCATCACCTGATAATGCGCAGTCATCATTCGAGATTGGAACAATAAGCCACAAGCTCTGTCAGTCCGCACAAACAATATCTCTGCACAAGATACAGAAACAAAACCTTCTCAAAAAAGCCAGTGGCCCTAGCGTTTTGCACGAGTTCGACGACACCATCACCACTCCACCTGAAGATCTCCGTCTCCGCAAAGTTTTCCTTGTAGACCTTGGTTAGTTGCTTGTGTTAAAGTTTCCTCTCTATCACATCGTATATTTAGACACATGTATGGAGTATTAAATATAGACTAAAAAATAACTAATTGCACAGATTGCGAACTAATTTGCGAGACAAATTTTTAAGCCAAATTAGTCCATGATTTGACAATGTTGTGCTACAGTAACCATATGCTAATGATAGATTAATTAGGCTCAATAAATTCGTCTCGAGGATTACTGATGACTTTCGTAATTTGTTTTATTATTACTATCCAAACACTCCCATATAACATCTGATGTGACACCACTAAATTTTAGCCCCTGAATTTAAACACCACCTTCATCAGCGTAAATCTCAGCCCAGGTGGTTGGGGGATAACTGAAAGGCAGGCCGCTTACCCGCTTTGCTCACCAAAAAGGGTCTTTTCGGGAAACAGAAAGCTCCACTACTTTTTGTTAGGACAAGACCCACCCCCACGCCATCCATCCTTGGGGCTGCCTATATAACCAACAGTGCCGAAGCAAAAACATCCACTCTGCACCAGCAATCCAGCATCGCAGCTCCTCACTCCATTGCCCGCTGCAATCTGTCAACAATAATCAGCTGTTAGTTAGTCCAAGCTTCAACAACTTGTCCGAGAAATCGCCGTGCTCTTCTCTCTATCGCGATGCTGATCACTGCAGCAGCCGGCCTCCGCTGCCAAAAAGGCGAGTAGAGTACAACTCGCTGTTCTGGAGCTTTGACTCGCTGCTCGCTCTCTCTCGGTTGTCTTCACTGTTTCTGCTCCGTGCTGACGGAAAGCTGCTGGCTGCTGCTCTTGTTCGCAGTCGTACGTCGTCTACCTCGGCGGTCACTCGCATGGCCGGGCGGGCGCGGCGCTGGCGTCCTGCCGGGAGCGCGCCAGGAGGTCGCACTACGCGCTCCTGGGCTCCGTCCTGCGCAGCGAGGCCAGGGCCAGGGACGCCATCTTCTACTCCTACACCCGCTACATCAACGGCTTCGCCGCGACGCTGGAGGAGGACGAGGCGGCGGAGGTCTCCAGTACGTCTGGGCTCGCTCGTGTTCGATCTCTCTTCTCCGGCCGTCGCCGCCGTTACACTACTGTGATTAATTATTCTTCCGTGACGACGATGGCAGGGCATCCGCGCGTGGTCTCGGTGTTCCCGAACCGAGGCCACCCGCTGCACACGACGCGGTCGTGGGAGTTCCTCGGGATGGAGGAGGAGGGTGGCCGGGTGAGGCCCGGCTCCATCTGGGCCAAGGCGAAGTTCAGCGAAGGCGTCGTCATCGGCAATCTCGACACCGGTAACGCGCTCACCTTCATGCTCATGGTCTCTTCAGCTTTTCACCGCGATTTGCTACGTTCGGGCGCTCGCCCGTGCCTCTCACTGGCCGAGGTGTTGGAGATTAGAGCCACGGAACTAATAGCACTATAGATTAGTACTAGAACACTTCCAAAACAATCCTCTTCACCTTCATGCTTAAGGAAGATCGATGTGTATGGGTAAAGACCAAAAACCAGTCCAAATCCTGCTGCGCCAGCTCATCGACACATCACACAAGGCCAGCCCGTGTAAGTGTAAGCCGGAGGAGGAGTGCAGCAGCAGCGGCGACTGCCGTGCTTCTGTGGTTCTGTTGGCTTGTGAGGCGCGCGCAGAGGCGGCACCAGCACGGCAGCGGGTGCAATCAGAATCTGGGCAGACGCAGACGCTGCTGGGCTAGCTTGCGCTTCGTGATGAGTTTTGTTTGTGTGCCGGTGGAGTGGACCGGAGGGCGCAGCTCACCGCACGCAGAGCGATTGGAGTCTTCCGTTCCACACGGCTGCCAGCGTCCGCTGCCTGCCGCGGCTTTCATGGCTTTTCGACAGTTTTTCTGGGGGAGTTGTGGCTGTGGCTTCTCGGGCTCGGAGGAGCTGCTGTGTGCAGCTCAAGCAATCGAGAACTTGCTTGGATTTTACTGTAGGACAGGGTAGTAGGACTGTACCACGTAGGAGCAACAAGATTACAAGAAACCAAACGTGGTGCTATCTGCCTATCTCCGGCTCGTTGCTACAGTGTACAGTGTACTATAGCTGATACAGCTAAAAAAAATGTAGCTAGATTGCGAGGAGAATTGAAGTAGAGGCGTAGAGCTAGAGGAGGCTGGAGCTCCGACGAATAAGGCCTAGTCATGAATTAGCGTTTTGCAAACAAATACTTCCAGGGCAATGCTACGGTACTTTCATGATAAAGGGCTAGCATGTCAGATTGAGAAGCAACGTACTACAGGGCTGCTAGTACATGTACGTGGCCGAGCTCGTGAAAGCAGGCAGTGATGGCGGTCTTCAAAGCACGGAAAGGGCTTTTGCACGGCTGCGGCTGCCGCAGCCATAGCCCAGAGGCGCACAGAGTCGTACGTCCCTCAGTCCCTGGGGGCGCCACGGTGGCTGGTAGGGAATCCCGCATGTGGAGTCAAGTCCGATCCACCGGCTGGGCTGCTCCCTCCTTCCCTCCCCAGCTGCAGATCGACTGCCGTGCCCCGTGCGCGGGCTACGGGGATTACATTACAGTATTCGCGGGGCCATGCCCGCGTGCGACGAGATGATTAAACAAGGCTGTGTTCCTCGTGCTCTTGTGCAGGGGTGTGGCCGGAGGCCGGCAGCTTCAGGGACGACGGCATGGGACCGGCGCCGGCCGGGTGGCGGGGAATCTGCCAGGACCAGCAGGCCTCTGACGACGCGCAGGTTCGCTGCAACAGGTCTGTCTCCCCCTTCCCCGCTCTCCTCTCGCTGCATTGCTTGCTTCGCTCGCACCCCATCCATGGCATGGAGCCGATGCCTCGGGTCTCGGCCGCCGCGCGCTTCATTAACCTGTGTGCCTTCGTTGGCACCGTCGTGGCTACCTGCTACCCAGAGTAGTAAACAAACATCCGCGCCGTTATCCTTGTGGGAGTTGCTCCTGTCCTGTGATCATCGTGTTTCTTTAACCCGTGCGTAGCGTGGCAATGACAGTGTCTCTTTGACTCGTGTTTGTCCTGGTTTGGTAGAGCACGGCGTTGTAGGGCGTAAACTAAACAATAGGCGGCAGAACAGCCGCGTCGGTTTCAGAGACTTTGTTTAGCCTTCCTCTGCCAACTGCCTCTATTGTCTATTCAACTCCAGTAGGCTTACCAAAGTCGCTATGTTACGACTCATCATCAGAAGCAAGTGCGACGCCCTAGTTGGCTCTTTACATGTATATACTCACTTATCTAAGTGTATACAAGTGAATCACTTATGTAAGTGTACAAGTGGATCAAGTCGCGACGCCCTATATTGGCCCATTGGCGCATGTTACTCCTGCCATATACAAAATATGTGTCAGTTGAATTAAAATCTGAAAATGAGCCAACGGTTGATTGCACATCCTATTGCTTAATCCACTGAAAACAAGGATGTCTAGCAAGGGGTTTTTTAAGATCTCCAACATGTTCCGTGGGTTTAGGGACTGTTTGGAACCCCTTCTAAACTTTAGAGCTAAAGTCTTCAAATAAGTGGTCTAAACTTTGCTCTCCACTTTACGTTAGAGCTTTAGATCTTAAAACTGCACCAAAGTGTTCCGAAAGTTTAGAGGATATGATCCAAACAGACCTGTAGAACATCTCTCAGGAGTTAGGAGGAAGTTAAGCCGCATGGGGAGGAGGAAAAAAATTAAATGCATACAATATGCATGCTGCTTCAATGCATACCCCTCCTGATCTGCTGCCACGTGTACAAACAAAATAATCAAACGCCCGGCTCATGATTGACGTGGTCCATGTAGACCACGGAATGCAGCCTGATACCTACTGTTGGATCATGAGGTGGGAACACATGGCAGCTGATTAGGAGGGGTATGCATTGAAGCTGCATGCACACTGGATGCATGCAATTTTTTTCCGGGAGGTAAGCAATACGTGGAGTGGAGAGGACCGTTAGTTGGTGGATGATGTCGATGGCAAAGGGTCTAGGGTTTATGGCATACAAACTAATGGAGAAATCCAAAGAAACTGTGGACGCAAGACAAGATCTATACTGGCCCAAATGACATAAAAGGCCATGTTCGTTTCGCTGAAATTTAGTATTGCTGATGTTGATTTGTTGTGAGATGAAAATATTGTTCATTCGCTGAAAATACTTGTGAAGTAGTGCTGAAAAACATGACGAAAATAAAGTAGCACCTCCCATTCAAAATCCCATGAGCCACAATTCCAATTCCTTTCCATATGTTACTGTGCATCTGGTTGTAGCACAGTGTAGGCCTGGAGTCACGCATGTGAGGGCATGCAGACGGCAGAGCTGGCTGGTCCGATCACGCAGATTCCCTTTCGCTGTTGCACCACAGATTGCTGTCATAATTCTGCAAACATTTTAGGGTCCAAGCTGCCTCCGACCCTACTACATTAGGACATCTGAAGATTTCTACCTCTTTGCCGTGCGCTTTCCCATGATTACATGACTGGATGATCCGATCACCTCTTTCCTCTCGGGGGCCGTGCTCCCTTCATGCCAAATCCGCCTTGTCCTGTGCGTCTAGTTTGAGTGAGCGGCTCGGTGCTGGCGTGCTGCGGTGCTGCATGTTAAGAATATCCGATAGGATCACATGACCATAATATTTGGTTGATTGATATCTTCTGAAGATTGGTTGTGCGCTCAGGCTTAGATTGTGGATGAAGACAAGTATCACGGCTTCGGTTAGATAGGATAGGTATCTCCTGATTGATGTAATCTTGTGATGTAATCTAGAGTTATCAAAGTAGTTAGCTTCTTCTTATTGTACAAGTTGTACCGCCACACCAGGGGCTCTTCCTGGCTATATTAACACGAAGCCGTGAGCCTGAGAGGGCATCACATTCCAACCATTTTCACATGGTATCAGAGTTAGGTTAGTCCACAATATTCTCGATGGCTTCCTCTTCCGCGCTTCAACAATCGTTCTCTCTGATCGGTTGTCCCGTCACCGAGAAGCTGGGCAAAGGGAATTTTCCCCTATGGAGCGCCCAGGTGTTGTCTGCTCTTCGCGGTGCGCAGATACCGCACTATCTCGAGCCCGACATTGTGGTGCCGGCGAAGCAGATCCCCAAGGCGGCCGACAAGCCGACTAAGCTCATCCCCAACCCTGAGTATGAAACTTGGGTTGCGAAGGACCAGCAGATCGTTAACTATCTGCTCTCCAATATCTCCAAAGAGATCCAGGTGCAAGTCTCCAATTGCGCCACATCGGCCGAGATCTGGAAAGTGATCTCAGAGATGACGGCTTTCCAGTCTCGGGGTTGTATCATCAACACGCGCATGGCGTTGGCCACAGCGTAGAAGGGCTCGTCTACAATCGCCGACTACTTCAACAAGATGAAATCTCTTGCTGACGACATGGCGGCCGCCGGCAAACGTCTTGAAGATGAAGAGATCATCTCCTATATACTAGCCGGACTTGACATGGATTTTAATCCGATTGTCTCGGTTGTCACGGCGCGCACAGAGCCGCTATCTTTGGGCGAGCTCTACACCTAGCTAGTGAGCTGGGAACAACGGATGGATCTCCTGCACGGTGGATCCAGTTCATCTGCTAACACGGCTACACGTGGAGGCCATGGCGGTGGTGGCCGAGGACGCGGGCGCGGCCACAACCGTGGCAACAACAACAACAGCGGGCGCCCCCGGCAGAACTACAATGGCGATAAACCCATCTGCCAGCTCTGCGGCAAGGAGGGCCACACCGGACTCCGCTGCTTCAAACGTTTTGACGCTTCCTTCACCAGCCCACCAGAGCAATCCCGATCTGTCTCCTCTCCGTCATATGGGATCGAAACCAACTGGTACACCGACACTGGTGCTACCGACCACATCACGGGAGAGCTAGAGAAGTTCACCGTGAGGGACAAGTACCATGGAAATGACAAGGTTCATGCTGCTAATGGCGCAGGTATGAGAATCAATCAAATTGGTCGAAGTTTTGTTCGTACCCCAAATCAAAATCTCGTCCTAAACAATGTTCTTTATGTTCCTGAAGCTAACAAAAGTCTTGCATCTGTTCATCGTCTTACATCCGATAGCCTTGCTTTTATTGAATATCATCCCAACTATTTTTTGATTAAGGACCAGGCGACAAAGAAAACCATCCTTAGAGGGGAATGTGAAGGCGGCCTCTACCCGTTGAAGTCTAGGCCGTCATTGAATAAAGGGGCATTTGGTGCTGTCAAGTCTCCTTCGTCCAGGTGGCATAGTCGTCTCGGCCACCCTTCTTTTGCAGTCGTTCAGCAAGTCCTTAACAAAAATAGTATTCCCTTTGTTGCTGATTTGAATAAAGAAATTGTTTGTGATGCTTGCCAAAAGGGCAAAAGTCATCAGCTACCCTATCCTAGATCCACGAGTATCTCATTAAGTCCCTTAGAACTTGTGTTTTCTGATGTATGGGGTCCTGTGCCCACTTCTGTTGGCAAAAACAGTTATTACGTTAGCTTCTTTGATGATTTCAGCAAGTTTACATGGATTTATTTGCTTCGTCATAAATCTGAAGTTTTTAAAAAAAATCATGAATTCCAAGCTATGGTTGAACGCCAATTTGATAGAAAAATTCTCGCTATGCAAACTGACTGGGAAGGGGAATATCAAAAGTTGAATGCCTTCTTTCAGTGCATTGGCATCTTGCATCATGTCTCATGCCCTTATGCACATCAACAAAATGGCTCCGCTGAACGCAAACATCGCCATATTGTTGAAGTAGGTCTCTCGTTTTTAGCCCATGCTTCTATGCCCTTAAAATTTTGGGATGAAGTTTTCATCACTGCCACCTATCTTATTAATCGTCTCCATAGTAAAATTATCAATAACCAAACTCCTCTTGAACGCCTATTTCATCAAACACCAGACTACTCCTCTCTTCGTACTTTTGGCTACGCATGCTGGCCGAATCTACGGCCTTATAACGCTCGCAAGTTGCAATTCCGCTCCAAGCGCTGTGTCTTCCTAGGATACAGTAACATACACAAGGGGTTCAAGTGTCTGGATGTCAATGAAGGGTGTGTCTATATTTCCTGAGATGTGGTCTTCGATGAACACGTCTTCTCCTTCACCGAACTCCACCCAAACGCCGGTGCTTGATTACGATCTGAAATTCTCCTCCTTCCTCCAACTTTGACAAATCCTTCACATGATTTCGGGGACGACAATTCTTCAGATCATTTTGATAATGATTCCGTGCATACTAACCCTATGTCTAAGCGTGCAGACATGAAAAAAATTCGCATCAAATGAACTAAATCATTTGAAGCGGGTGTCATTTCATGCTCCCGAGCAATTTCCCGTTTTGGCGAGAGCAGCGGCGATCCCCAGTGATTCACTGCACCTTCCATCTGCGGAGCCGACAGGATCGGTCTTTGATCCGCGCGGCGTAGCCCCACGCTTCGTGACAAAAAGTACTCCACCGCATCCTCCTCCGCGTGCGCGCCACTCTCGAACTCGCCTCGCCTGGCTCCACGGACGGGACAACAGGATATTTCGACCGGTGGTGGAGAATCTCCCTTGGGTCCGTCGCTTGTCGAATCTTCTGCGCCAGCCACAGACCAACCCACCGGATCTTCTACATCGCCTGCAGCACCAGCTTTCCAACGACCCACCACACGTCTACAACAAGGTATACGCAAACCAAAAAATTACACTGATGGAACTATTCGATATGATCAGTTAGCGGCCACCACTGAAGGTCCTATTGATTTGCAACATGCCTTAGTCGATAATAATTGGAAGCGTGCTATGGATGTTGAATTTGATGCATTGATTAGGAATAAAACTTGGCATCTAGTTCCACCTCAAAAAGATAAAAATGTGATAGATTGCAAGTGGATCTATAAAATCAAAAGAAGATCAGATGAAAAAATTGACAGATATAAGGCACGCCTAGTAGCAAAGGGGTTCAAACAACGATATGGCATTGATTATGAGGATACTTTTAGTCCTGTTGTGAAAGCGGCCACAATTCGTCTTGTGCTCTCTCTAGCTATGTCTAAGGATTGGTGTTTGAGGCAACTCGATGTTCAGAACGCTTTCTTACATGGTTTCCTTGAAGAAGAGGTATACATGAAACAGCCGTCAGGTTATGAAGATAAGACCAAACCACATCACTTATGCAAACTTGACAGATCCTGTATGGTTTAAAACAAGCACCACGGGTCTGGTATTCTAGTTTGTGTGGTAAACTTCAGAGTCTAGGCTTTGTTCCCTCCAAAGCTGACACATCATTATTCTTTTATCGGAAAGGAAATCATGTCATCTTTATGCTTGTATATGTTGATGATATAATTATTGCCAGTTCATCACAGGAAGCACTGGATGCTCTTCTCTGAGATTTAGAGAAGGACTTTGCAATCAAAGATCTCGGGAACCTTCACTATTTTCTTGGCATACAGGTTCAAAGAAAGAAAGGTGAATTGCTTTTGACACAGGAACGGTATGCTTCTGATATCCTCAAGAGAGTTAATATGCAGCTGTGTAAACCCGTCAAAACACTTCTTAATACTAACAAAAAGCTTTCAGTCACTAGTGGCACTCGGTTAGGAGTGGAGGACTCAACCAGATACAGGAGCATTGTTGGAGCTCTCCAGTATCTCACCCTCACACGACCAGATCTGTCTTTTTCGATCAACAAAGTTTGTCAATTCCTTCACTCGCCGACGACCGTTCATTGGGAAGCTGTGAAGAGAATATTGAGATATGTACAAGGAACAATCGGCTTAGGATTAAAAATTAGAAAATCTAACTCTATGCTTGTAAGTGATTTTTCAGATGCTGATTGGGCCGGTTGCCCTAATGACAGACGATCTATAGGCGACTTTGTTGTATTCTTAGGTTGCAACCTAGTGTCATGGTGCACAAGAAAACAGCCTACGGTTTCAAGATCAAGTACATAAGCTGAATACAAGTCTTTGGCCAACGCTACTACAGAGATAATGTGGGTACAAAAATTACTTGATAATTTAGGTATTCCACATCCTTTGGCAGCATGTTTATGGTGTGATAATCTTGGCGCAAAGTACCTATCAGCTAACCCTGTATTTCATGCACACACCAAGCATATAGAGATCGATTTTCATTTTGTACGCGAACAAGTTGCTGCAAAGCGCCTGGACATCAGATTCATCAGCACAACGGATCAGATCGCCGATGACTTCACTAAGCCTCTTTCAGAGAAGCAAATGGTCATGTTCAGAGATAATCTCAACCTCGCTGATAAGTTGTGATTGAGAGGGGATGTTAAGAATATCCAATAGGATCACATGACCGCAATATCTGGTTGATCGATATCTCCTGAAGATTGGTTGTGCGCTCAGGCTTGGATTGCGAGTAAAGGCAAGTATCACGACTTCGGTTAGATAGGATAGGTATCTCCTGATTGATGTAATCTTGTGATGTAATCTAGAGTTACCAAAGTAGTTAGCTTCTTTTTGTTGTACAAGTTGTACCGCCAAGCAAAGGGCTCTTTCTGACTATATTAACACGAAACCGTGAGCCTTAGAGGGCATCACGTTCCAACCATTTTCACACTGCACAGCGCCACGGCCACGGTTTCAGCCTTTCAGGTGTCGACAAGCCGCAAGCAGACACCACGGTCAGTTATCTTCGGAAAAGCTCCAAGAGGACGGGATAATCCACGCGCAAAGCCTTGAAAATGTGTACAAATGAGGACGTAGCTGATGCGGGTCCATGCATGGTTACTGCGCAAGCAGCGCCTGTTTTGTGATTGTTATGCGGTGCAGCAGCAGCAGCTAGCTCGACAATCTATAGTGCAGCCTCTGGCTCTGCCAAAACCTGATGAACTGCGGCCGGTCATGACTCATGAGAGAACTCTCAGAGCTCAGCGTTTCTGCATCAGTAGACCATCCATTCTTATCGCTCTGATGCTCTTCTCCAAAATCTTTTGTCTCCTTCATGAATCATGAGCGCAGCAAGATCGATATTTCTGAGACGCTGGCACGGCCATTAGCCTTAAGCACCGTTGTTGTTTATGCTTGGCGAGTAGTCATGGATCGCATTTTGAGATGCAGAATCGATCTCCGTGCTTGTTTAATTGACGTCTTCCCGCCCGCAGGAAGCTGATCGGCGCGCGGTTCTTCAACAAGGGGTACCTGGCGACGGTTGGGCAGCAGCAGCAGCAGTAGGTGAGCCTGGCGAGCACGCGGGACACGGACGGGCACGGCACGCACACGCTGTCCACGGCGGCGGGGAGGTTCGTCCAGGGCGCCAACCTCTTCGGGTACGGCAACGGCACGGCCAAGGGTGGGGCTCCGCGGGCGCACGCCGCGGCGTACAAGGTGTGCTGGCGCCCCGTGAACGGCAGCGAGTGCTTCGACGCCGACATCATCGCGGCGTTCGACGCCGCCATCCACGACGGGGTGCACGTGCTCTCCGTGTCCCTGGGAGGCTCCCCCGCGGACTACTTCCGCGACGGCGTGGCCATCGGGTTGTTCCACGCGGCCAGGCACGGCGTCACCGTGGTGTGCTCGGTCGGCAACTCGGGCCCCGCCGCCGGCACCGTGTCCAACACCGCGCCGTGGCTGCTCACCGTGGGCGCCAGCACCATGGACAGGGAGTCCCCGCGTACCTGGTCCTCGACAACAACAAGCGGATCAAAGTCAGTAACAGATACTAGTAGCTCAATTCATCTTCAGACTTGTATTGGTCCAACACTTATATCTGACAAAAATGCAAGCATTTTTTCTTTGGCAGGGACAAAATCTCTCGCCGACGCGCCTTCCTGGCAACAAGTACTACAAGCTGATCAGCTCGGAAGAAGCAAAGGGAGCCAATGCAACAGTAACGCAAGCGTAAGCACGCTTGAACCTCCAGACTGAAACTATTTTCTGATGGTTTGATTGGCTGAATTGAGATCATCTGAAAATGCACCTTATTTCTTCTGCAGGAAATTGTGCATTAAGGGATCACTGGACAAGGCCAAGGTCAAAGGGAAGATCGTTGTGTGCATCCGTGGTAAGAATGCGCGAGTGGAGAAAGGTGAGGCCGTTCACCGGGCTGGCGGAGCTGGCCAACGATGAGGCTAGCGGGAACGAGATGATCGCCGAGACGCCGACGCACACGTTCTCCCTGCCACGCACATCACCTACGCTGATGGAGTCAAGCTTTTGGCCTACCTGAACTCTACAAGGTTCGTTTATTTAAATTTTATTTGGTCACTAACACAACTGGCCTATTAGCTCAGTTGGTTAGAGCGTCGTGCTAATAACGCGAAGGTCGCAGGTTCGAGACCTGCATGGGCCAAATATCTTTTTGTTAACACCCTTTTTTTCGATGGTCCACAGTCCAGTTGCCCATTTTGGCCTAATGTGTGAGCTCCCCCGTCCTGTCGTGCAGATCGGCATCCGGCTACATCATTTTTTTTCTCTTTTTGTTAACACCCTTTTTTTTCCTTTTTTTTGATGATCCATTTGTCCATTTCGGCCCTTTTTGATTTTGGCCCAGTTACCCATTTCGGCCTAATGCCTCAGCCCTTTTTCGATGGTCCACAGTCCACTTGCCCATTTTGGCCTAATGTGTGAGCTCCCCCGTCCTGTCGTGCAGATCGGCATCCGGCTACATCACCGTCCCCTACACCGCACTGGACACGAAGCCGGCGCCGTTCATGGCCGCCTTCTCGTCGCAGGGGCCCAACACCGTCACACCTCAGATCCTCAAGGTACAAACATTATTTTCCTAGTGATCAATCGCCAAGCGCTACATCTGCAGCTTTCCCTCCGATCCTAACTGAACCTGCACGTTTTCTTGCCGGCAGCCTGACATCACCGCGCCGGGGGTCAGCATCCTTGCGGCGTTCACCGGGCAGGCGGGGCCGACCGGGCTCGCCTTCGACGACCGCCGCGTCCTCTTCAACGCCGAGTCCGGCACCTCCATGTCGTGCCCGCATGTCGCCGGCATTGCCGGACTCCTCAAGGCTCTCCACCCTGACTGGAGCCCTGCTGCGATCAAGTCGGCGATCATGACAACCGGTACGTACGTACACGGTGCCAGCGCAAGCACGATGCACATTTCCATGCGCAAGCTCCCTGCTAAATTGTTGCTTCGTGCATGTCTTGCCAGCCAGGGTGCGGGACAACATGAGGAAGCCGATGAGCAACTCGTCCTTCCTCCGCGCGACGCCGTTCGGCTACGGCGCGGGGCACGTGCAGCCCAACCGCGCCGCGGACCCGGGCCTCGTCTACGACGCCAACGCCACGGACTACCTCGGCTTCCTCTGCGCGCTGGGCTACAACTCCTCGGTGATCGCCACGTTCATGGCCGGCGCCGGCGACGGCCACGGCCACGCGGCGCACGCCTGCCCGGCCCGGGCCCCGAGGCCGGAGGACCTCAACTACCCGTCGGTCGCGGTGCCGCACCTGTCCCCCACCGGCGCCGTGCACACCGTCACGAGGAGGGTGAGGAACGTCGGCCCCGGCGCCGCCGCTTACGACGCGAGGGTCCACGCGCCGCGTGGCTTGGCGGTGGACGTGCGGCCGAGGCGGCTCGAGTTCGCCGCGGCGGGGGAGGAGAAGCAGTTCGCCGTCACGTTCAGGGCCAGGGAAGGGTTCTTCCTCCCGGGGGAGTACGTGTTCGGGCGGCTGGTGTGGTCGGACGGACGCGGCAGGCACCGCGTGAGGAGCCCCCTGGTGGTGAGGGTAGTGGACAGCAAGAAGAAGCCCATTTCCATAGCTTGACGAACTCTGTTAGGATGTCAATGTTATGCATGGTAATGAGCAATGAAGCCTGGCCAAAGAAGGTTTGGCTCATGAACAATATAACGATACACTGACAACGGATCTGCAGTGGTCTAAAAGTTCAGAGATTTCGGTTCATTTTCTAACATTTGGATTTGTATTCTACAATAACCCATGAAATTTCAAGAGTTTTTGTTTGCCCATTCAACAATCAAGAGAGGCCATGCTTATGAAAGACTTATGAAATGGGATAAGAAAAAACTTCCCTCTTTTCTACGGCTGAAACCTATAGAGAGATTTTCACATCATGCCCAGCTTTCGCTGGGAACAAATTTAACAGCCAACCGATGTTTCATATTGAACTTGGATGGTTACTACGTGAGGGATTATGTGATTTAGTTTTTTTTTGTGTGTGTGTGTGTGTGGTGGGGTGGGGGGTGAAATAAATAACAGCTCCGTCACATGGAAAGATGGCATAATAAAATCAGGAGATTAAGACAAACGTGACTGCTAGCCCCGGATGGACTCCCGCATTGGTACTGGAGGGGACCGTGACACCTAAGAGAAGAGGTAATTAGGCAATTTAAAAATCTAACTCTAAACTATGGTCCCTTTTTCTAACCCTAGCAAAACCTATGCAAAAAATAAACTATCTAAATGTGTAACTACGGTTTTGCTAGTGTGTTGCTATCTCTACCGCAAAAGAAGTAATACAATTAATGCAAATGCGGAAGCTAAAGAGCAAGTTATAGATATGCAAACTTCCGTCGACGACTCCGGTATTTTTACCGATGTATCGAGAAGCACGCAAGCTTCCCCCTAGTCCTCGTTGGAGCCCCTCGCAAGGGCTAAGCTCCCGGTCGGTTAACTCCGTGGATAGCGTCGGGCCTTCCCTACGCGCAAGTGGGTCTCCGACGTGCCTTCTGGCAAGCCTCTCCCGGATGCTCCCCGCCGTCTTCACTATCAAGCTTCCGGCCGAAACGCCGTGGGCCTTGTTCCCTCCGGTACACAGTGACGGCCACACCATAAACACGGTTGGTGTGATCTCGCAAGACTACAAGCCCCTCCGATATACAACAATGGTGCGCGCAAGCACCGAGTGGTAAGAGGTATGCAAACCTCACTAAACACTAGACCTAAACCTAGAGCAAGCGCATAAGCGGTGGTCTAATCAACCTAAGCACTTCGCAAAGCACCTACGCTAATCACCTAATGAATCACTAAGCACTATGCAAGTGGAGATCACTAAAATGGTGTATCAACACCTTTTGTATGTTTTCTCAGCTCCACACTACTCAAATGGCCGGTTGGAGGTTGTATTTATAAGCCCCACTGAGAAAGCAGCCGTTGGGGACGAAATCCCGCTTTTCTGCTACTGACCAGACACTGAAGTCGTCCTGACCGGACGCGTCCGGTCGTCCCGACCGCTGGAGCCGCAAACCACTGATCGGACGCTGCCAGCGTCCGGTCACATGCCACCGGACGCGTCCGGTCACATTTTCGCCACTCTGGAATCTCTCTGTACTCGACCGGACTCTGTTGTCCTGCGTTCGGTCGGTTTAGCCGCCAGCGTCCGGTCGCTGCTGCTGACGCCTGTTTGTCGAGCCTCTTGATCGGAGCATCTGGTCCAGCGTCCAGTCGCTTCTGCCAGCGTTCGGTCGCTTCTGTGAGCTCGTTTCTTCGCGATCTTGCGTACGGCTTGATTCCTATCTTCGTGCTTGGACTTTGCTTGATATATTGGATCTTCTCTTGTGCTTCTAAGGTCTTGCTTATGGTGTTGATCATCAGATCATCACGATGCCTTCGTCCAAGTCACGTCTTGCATTTTATTGAACTACAAAACAATCACTTGCAAATTTATTAGTCCAATTTGGTTGTGTTGATCATCAAACACCAAAATCTAAAGTAAATGGGCCAAGAGTCCATTTTCCTTACAATCTCTCCTTTTTGATAATTGATGACAACACGACCAAAGCAAGCAAATAATAAAAATTTGAAATTTGAAAACTACCTACTTGCTAGGATGCAATGCAAGGGGCAAGATTATATGATGCTAAAAGATACTACTTGTAAGACTAAAAAGTACTACATAAAACTTATCTTGCCCTTACAAATGTTCCCATGTGGCATTATGGATATAAGTCTTGCTTTCTACAGATTCTCCTCAGTACATAGACTAATCCATAATCCACTATCCTCCCTTTCTCGGACCATTACCACTTGTAAATTATTTTGATCTAGCTTATGGCCCTACAAATTATTTCTTGCTTTTGGTCCTCTAAATTCTCCCCTTTGGAATCAAACACCAAAAAGGAAGACATTAGTAGCACAAGGGGGGTCAAACTTTGTGATCCTTTGTGTGTAGAGTGGAATAGGTCACAAAATTTGACTCTCACATTATATAGATTAAGCTCCCTCTAAATATATGCATACATATGGTAGAAGGCAAAGTATATGCATATTTGGCAAATTATTATACAAGGGAATTTAATCTATATAATGCATGAAGAAAGCATATAAATATCAAAAAAAGAAATCAACATGGTGATATCGGTTTAGAGATACCACATGTAAAAACCAATTTGATTTCTACCAGTTGCAATAGGTGGTGGATACTTGAAGTATGATGCTTAACTCCGGGGACTCTATTTTCCTAGCAATAAGACTACTACACACATGGTAAGCTTGAAAAGGTGTTAGTCTCAAAGCATTGAACTTGTAGAGTAACCTCCCCCTAAGTTTGTGTACATAAGTATGGAATACTTGTAGGAAACTTGCACATTGATTTTAGAATCAATAATACCACTTGAAGGATGACATCACATGAATGTGATAATCATTTTCGAAGTTGATATTCGGGTGAGATAATCTACAATTTGGACTTTGGCACATATTAGATAAACAATTGTAAAGCAAGCTATGTACCGTGCTCCTAAACAATTTTAAACCATGTAGGTTTGCTCCAAGGGTTAAGTATGAAACCGAGCAAGCCTACCATAAGATATACCTAGTGTATGCACAACAAAAGATATAAGCATGCAAATGCAAACCTAGGCATGTAAAATAACTAGATGCTTAAAGACACCAATTTGTAAGAAATACTACTTAAAGGAAATACCAATTGAAAGCAACAACATCTAGTTACCTAACATGGGAAGGGGAATTTGGGTCCATAATATTCACTAACCCACTTGGCAATGATTTTGTCCATCATGATGCACCCCATGAAATGCACCCATACTTTGCCAAGTCTCCAAATTCCCCGTAGTCCAATGGACTTCTCACTTCCCTTTCAGGATCCAAACCTTCTTGGTGCTCTTCATGTTGGTAATGATTTTCTTTGGCACCTAAAAGCGTTTGACCCCATTGTTGGCTTGCTTGTTCACCTTGATGGCCACCACCATGTCATTTTTCTTCTTCTTCAAAAGATAAGGTGTGGAGGCCTTCTTGTCCACCTTGTTGGTGTAGGAGTTGGAGAGTTTGCTTGTTTGCTTTTTCTCTTTCTTCTTTGCTCCTCCCCTATTCTTCACCTTGCACTCATAGGACTTGTGACCTTTCTTCTGGCACATGTAGCAAACCACGGTTTGTCCTTCATCAAGCTTCTTCACTCCCTTGACGGTGTTATCTTGATGAAGTTGGGCTTGCTTCGCCTTACCTTTTACTTGAGTCAAATCCTTGGTGAGGCGAGCTACTTCTTGCTTGAGTTGCTCATTCTCCTTTGCAACCTCTTGTGTGCATGTATCTACAACAACTTTCTCAACACAAACTTGGTTGCACAAAGATGAGTCTAAACATAAATCATTACAAGAAGTAGAGGCATCCTTTTTAGACATGTTAAAGATAAAACTTTTCTTTTTAGATGCCTTGGTGGGGGTTGTACTAACGGCTTCAAGCTTAGCAACTTTATTAGTTAGCTCATCACAATGTTTGCACATGGTTTCCATTTTAGCAAGCAAACTTTTATAAGCATCTTATGAGCTAGCTAACTTTTCTTTTATTTTTTCATTTTTCTTTACAAGTTACTCATCATTGATTGTGCATGCATTTGTTGTTGCACTAGCCTTAAGTTGCAACATGCATGTTATGCAACATCCAAATATACTTTTGTAACATCCAGATGAAACACTTGAAACAAACGTCTGAAACAACTGAAACACTTGAAACATATACTTGCAACATGCGTATATGGCCATTGCAAAATTCAAATGAAAACATTTGAAAACATACTTCTAAAACACTTGAAACATGGCGTTGTCGACGGCCACGGCCTACCTAGTAGGGAACTGCAGTAGCCAGCAAGCGGTGCTCGGGTGCAGTGGAGAGGGAGGATGGCGGCATACAAGCTGCGCCAGTGTAGTCACCGTGGACCATGCCGCGTCGGCTCGAAGAACTCGGCGGCAACTGGTGAGTGGTGGTGGGTGAAAGCTCTAGTTTGGTTTTGGTTAATTGATGAAACCCTAAGTGCTAACCTAGTTTATCAAAGTGAATTATGAGATACGTAGCACTACTCTAAGTGATGAAGCAATGGCGAAGATCATGACGATGGTGATGGCATGGTGATGATCAAATGCTTGAACTTGAAAAGAAGAAAGAGAAAAATAAAAGGCTCAAGGCAAAGGTATAAATAATATGAGCCATTTTGTTTCGGTGATCAAGACACTTAGCGAGTGTGATCACATTTAGGTTAGATAGCCGTACTATTAAGAGGGGTGAAACTCGTATTGAAATGCGGTTATCAAAGTGCCACTAGATGCTCTAACTCATTGCATATGCATTTAGGATCTAGTGGAGTGCTAACACCCTTAAAAATGCTTGTGAAAATATGCTAACACATGTGCACAAGGTAATACACTTGGTGGTTGGCACATTTGAGCAAAGGTTAGAAACTTCACCAGCGTAGTGTCCTCCCGTAGAGTGCGGACAGTCCGATGGTGCCACCGGCGCCCTATATAGAAAAGATAGGGTTTCACTGTAGTGACCGGACGCTGGCCTCTACTGGA